CCTGCGCCCCTTTGTCCTTCGCGGTGTCCAGGATTACCTGTAAATAGGAGAGAAAAGGAACAACAACAAAAAACGCAATTGGAAATAAATTTTTTTTTTCCGTGTGAATCTGACCCTGTGTGGTTCTTCTTTTTTTTTTTTTTTTGGGGAGGAGTTGTTGTTTTTTTGTTCTGGTGTGTAAAAAAGAAAAAAACCCAAACCTATTTTAAAGAAATTAATTAAACAGCGCGTTTCTTTTTTACAGGGATTTCTGTTGTCAGTGGCACAGCCTCAACTCCCTAATGAAAACAAAAGATGTTTGTCTATAGGGTATATCAGCCTTAAGTACTGCTAAGCCTTACATATTATGATTTATTTGTTCTAAGCATGTATTAATATGCTCTTCCCAAACTGGTCTCAGACAAACCCGAGGTGGTCATTAGCGCTTTGCTTTGCTGTAAGGAATGGATGTAGCGTTGTATTTCTCTAGAGAGACTTCTCTATTTAAAAAAGGGGGGAAAAAAAAAATCTCCTTCTCCAAGGTAGTTAATGCATTAATGAGTCTAATTTTTGCACAGATGTTTCTCGGTGTTTGCAGGTTTTCTGTGTATTTTTATATTACAAAGGAGCTGGGTCCTGCGATAGCTCATAGCCTGACAAGCAAATAGATAATCAAGAAGACAAATGGCTTCTTTTGTGAGCCGCAGCTCTTGTATTAATTTTCATTTTCTTTCTCATAGAAAGTATCGAAAATACTGTTCAGGACAGAATAACATTCCAGTTCTAAGTTGCAAATATATATAAAAAAAGGACTATTGTGCGCAGGGGGAAGAACCCTCCGCAGCTGAAGAAAATAATCATTTTCTTATACTTGCCTCTAAAAAAAAAAAAAAAAGCTTTTGCTTATTTGTTCAATGTCCCCGGAATTCTCCGAGACCCCCAGCAGGACCCGAAATGTTCGCCCGCGTTATTCAGAAACAAAGGCAGGGTTTGAAATATTTCAGGGCAGAGTGTGTTTATGTGTTATTCCTTCAGCTGCAGGAAGTCACCGCTCGGCCACCTTGCAAATAAAGTGTCCCCAAAAGTCTCCCTGCCCCCAGCTCAAACAAAGGCCCGCTAGATTTTTCTTTCTATGGACATTTTAATACTTTAAAATAATATTAATGTAGTCACATGGTACAGATCTGTTACCGGCTCTGATGTGGAAGAAATGGATTTATGGATGTATTTTGGGTTAACTATGGCGGTTTTCGAGGTAGCAACTGCAAACCTTTAAAGTTTCCTTCTTTCTTCTTTTTTTTCTTTCTTCTTTTTTTTTTTCCCCGAGAGGGTGGCAAAGGCTGTATTTTATTGTAATGCCTGAGGTTGGGGTGTTTTGTTGTTGTTGTTGCATTTTATTTTACTGTTTCTGCCTTTGATCTGCTGGGGTTGTAAAGAGGGTGTTATTTTCAAGATCGTGCTTCTAAGAACGGCCAAAAATCGTTCTTAAAAAAAAAAAAAAAAAAAGCATATGCTTCCAGGAATGCGGGGTCTATAGAAGGAAATCAAAGCTGGAAAGTATGAATAGAATAGAAGGGGGAGAAAAGAAGATTTCTATAGGACCCAAAAGTTCACAGCCATTATAAGCAGACAGAAGCCAAGAAAAATGCGAGAATTATACAGAAAATCATTAATCACTTCTTTTCTTTAAATACTTATCCTTTTCCCATTGTTATTCAACAGCAAATCTCCGCAGACCGTCTGTTGGGAAAAAAGCACCCGGAGTCCTACAAGAATCTTCAGGGGAAATAATAATATTAATAATAAAATCTGGATCGTAAAGGTGAAAGCTTTATTTTTGGGGGAGAAAAACAAAACCAAAAGCCCCCCCCTCCCAAGCCACCCCCTCCCCCAGACCTCTCACTTTGGAAGAAACCACCCAAACCATGAGGGCCGTCTCTGGGGCGTTGGAAAAAGGATGTGGGAGCGAACCAGGTAACAGAGCTGCTCTCTTGGCAT